AACAGTTTTGTTGATTAAAAAACACTATATCGGATTCATATCGGTATCGGCAGATATCCAAATTTATGATATCGGTATCGGTATCGGACATAAAAAAGTGGTATCGTGCCATCTCTAACCGGTACTAGTTTTATTTTGTTGTATTTATCCGCGACACCTTAAAGGCCGGTCCGCGAAAATGTTGTCGGGCATAAACCGGTCGAAAAAGGTTGGAGACCGCTGTGTTAGAGTATTAGGTAGGATACATTTTCATCTTAAAGCCTTCGAGTCAGAAAGTCTGAAAACTTTTTGATAAATCTTATCGTGATGGCTGGATCAGATGTCCCTGAACCCTCCCTTGGTTATGTTGCAATAGGCCTAGGCTGTGGGGGGCTTCCCATGATGCACTGGGTGTTTCTTCTTCAATCACTGGGTTTATACACCACTCTGCATTTGATCATTAGTTATTATTAATCTCTGGCTCTCTTCCACAGTTTGTGTTTTGCTCTGTCTTCCTCCCCACACCCCTAACCAGTCGTGGCAGATGGCCCCGCCCCTCCCTGCTTCTGGTTCTGCTGGAGGGTTCTTCCTGTTAAAAGGAGTTTTTCCTTCCCACTTTCGCCAAATGCTTGCTAATAGAGGTTGTCTGATTGCTGGGACTTCCTGTGTATTATTGTTGGGTCTTAGCTCACAGTATAAAGCAGCGTGAGGTGGTGGTTGTTGTGCTTTGGCCCTACATAAATACAGTTGTGTTAAAATAAGTATTCTGTGTTAGGTCTTCACCAGACATCTCCACGTTGGCCTTGTCTGAGCACGGTGGAGCTCATTCATTAATATTTGCACAGTAACATTAATGCGCTGCTAAGAAATAAACAAGTACTTCATTAAATATGCGCACCAGTGTTCTTATTTCCATCCAGATCACTTTATAGAAATTCACACACATTCATACAAGCACTTCTTTTGTGCTCCTGTGCGTTAGTGTGCAGCGGACGCATCAGAAGCAACTTAGGCTTCAGTATATGGCCCAAGGATACTCTGGAAGCCAGGTATCGACCCACAAACCCTCTGGTTAGCAGATGGCTCGAGCCACCTGTCCAAATTGTTTCCATCAAAGATGCTCTCTCTCAAAAGAGGATTCTCACGTCTCTTCTCCTTGGTTTTCTTTCTCTCTCTCCCCTCTTTCTCTCATTCATTCCCCCTGTCCTATTTATTTAAAAAAAAAAAAAATGACAAAGGATGAACTGAAGCTCTGCCATCACGTAATGTCGCATACTGCTGTTTCTGATGTCATTTAAAAAATAAATAAATAAATAAATAAATTTCATTACAGATGCTTTCGTTTCATTTTACTACAGATATATTCAGCCTCTTGTTTGTCCCAGACTTTTGTCCAGTCTGAGACCACAACAACATGTCAGCTTGTCCTGGGCGATAGTTTCAGCCTGGACTACAAGATACACAGTAGGTGCCGTGTCAAACTTCCACGCCCGTGTAGTTTTACATAGTTTTTCTCCAACAGGGCTAAAAAAGCAGCAGCTCGTGGTTGCACGTTACAAACACAATGGCTGCTTTCATCCTCGAGAGCATCCTAAGAACAACTTTTCATTTGGATCTAGTCACACAGTTTGAGGGCAGCTCCAACACACAAACGAGCACACACACTGTTAGTCTGACTGGTGAACGGTGAGCAGCCAATCAGATCCTCGCAGGATTTCCTCAGAGCTAATGGACAGACTTTAACTAACACTGGAATACACCATGCTGTCAAACATGGTGTTTGGTTTGAGCTCATACATGTTATACTGTAGTTAGAGCTGGGCGATAGAACGATAACGATATGTATCGCGATATAACTTTTTCTCGATAGAAAAATTAAACTATCGCGATAGACCTCGCCGCTCTTGTCCTCTTAAAAAAAATAAATAAATAAAAAAAAATAACAGCCAATCCAAATTAGTGAGCGCAGAGCCGAACCAATCACAGCCGCAGCGTCACGTCCGTGACTTGTTACGTACAGCACAAGTGCCAAGCCGCACGTGTGTTTGTTTGGGAAGCAGCCAGCGGGTAATGGAGGAAATGAGTGTGCCGACTAGAAAAATCAACCGAGCGTGACCGAAGAGAAAACAGATGATGGTTCCAACGCCGGAGAGATTGTCGAACGGAAGAGCCATAGAAGTTCCGTAGTGTGAAGGTATTTCGGCTATTTCAAGTCTGACAAAAAACAGAGTAGCTGCGCACTGTAAATTGTGCCGAAAGCAAGTCTGGAAATACAATAAAGCGGTGCATGCTCAATATCTGACTGGAAGCGCTAATTTTGAAAACGCAGATTTTTCTATGCGTTTGCACCTTTCGTCCACACGTAAACGGCGTTTTTGGTCACTGAAAACGAAGATTTTTGAAAACTCAGTTTTTGCATTTACGTGTGGACTAGAAAAACGGAGAAAACGCAGCGTCAAAGGTGTGCGCATTTTTTGACGTCACACTGTGCGCCACGTTATTGTTTCGGTGAAATGAATTTCTACAATACTGTTAATTCTACTCTCTGCAGTGTTTAAATGCTTACATATAACACACAGTTACTGTCCCTCCACACATACGACTCTGTTCTGCTTCTATGCCCCAGCTTTGTTTACTTTTTCCCACCGAGGCTTCTAGACTTCTGATTGGCCAACATTTCTGCACGGTTAGGAATCTAGCGCCACCTGCTGCTTTGGCATGTTCATAGCAGCGTTTTCCTTCATTTCTGCCTTTATGTGTGGACGGGATTATTTTTTAAAACGGAAAATCTCCGTTTTCAAAAATACCCGTGTACGTGTGGACGTAGCCTCAGTCTCTGACTGGAAGCGCTAATTCGTCATTCGGCTTTTGTCAGACTAAAGTAACTGTTAAAACTGTTTGAAAAGCTAAGCTATACAACAAGGAGAGATTGAGAATTTCCTTTTAGTTCTCAGTTTATTTGATATTGACAAAAGTTAGTCAGTTTTGTCTGTTCTTCTGTAAAACAAACTAAGATTTATTTTTAGAATTAATATTTTGTTTCTAAGTGGAATTGACAGTTTAGTCTGTTTCGTTTGTTCTATTTTGAAACTTAAACGCTTTAGCGGCTGCCTTTTGTGTAGTTTGCAATATTTGCCTTTATTTATCTGAAAAAGTCTCATGTTCCTTAAGTACATCTACCCTGTTGAACTTATTATGGGAAATAAATATTTAAATAAAAACAAGCTGCTGATTATTTCACATTTTACTTGTGAGCAACGGCACATTTAAATCTTACAAATATAGTTATTTGGCTTATATCGTGATAGATATCGTTATCGCCTGAAATGAAAAAAACATATCGTGATATGAAAAAATCTTATATCGCCCAGCTCTAAGTAGTGGAAGACTGCTCTGTGTTTGAACCATCACATGGAAGTCGTGCTCTAGAGACCCACAAGCTCTTTTAATGGATTCATTTACTTCTTCTGAGAATTCAAACTCTACAGTTTCAGCCGATGAAACAACTTCTTCGAGCACAATAAAAGAACAGTAAGATTTTTTTTATGTGAAAATCTAAGTATTAAGAACTGCTTGCATAGATAATCAGAGGGTTAGCAGCAGCTAGGTGATGTTAATCAAATGCACCTGAATAACATCAACGGTGCCTGAATAAAAGCACAGGTGTGGCAGTTCACTGGTCTGAATCATTCAGGTGTGCTCGCACAAAACCAAGAAGAAACACTGATCTTAACTGTTACTGCCCACTGATCTGTGAAGGCATTCCCAAACAATCTGAAGTCCATCAGTGGGAGAAATTATTCATGAGTGGAAATCAGAATCAGATTAATTTAATAATCCCTGAAGAAATTATGTGAATGCTCAAGACAGCTGTCAATCTTTCCCCAGCAAACTCAACCCAAAGTCAGACGCTGCAGGGCTGAGAGAAGCTCAGAGAAACTGTGGGACAGAGCGCAGCATGTGCACACACAGGCTGAACAAGCATGGCTGCTTTGGAGGGAGTGCCGGGAAAAGCCTCCTCTCTCTACATCAGCAGCACTTAGATTTGCAAATCTGGGATTTTCTTTCCTCTGTTGCAGCGAGTTTCTCGTCTCAGACCGATAAATCACGTGTTGTGTGTGTGTGTGGATGTGTGTGTGGTGTGTGTGTGTGTGTGTGTGTGTGTGTGTTGCGTGTGTGTGTCTGTTGTGAGA